AAAAAAAAGGAAGAAAAGTCAAAAAAAGAAAGTATCGTTGCCGACGTAAAAGCTTTAAAGGGGAATGGTTTAGGCAGCATCGACAAACCGGAATTGAATCAAAAATTTGGTTATTAAACTAAACCGAATCTTCATAATCCTGAGGTCGCGAGTTCGAACCTTTCTCACCACATTTATTAATTTTCCCATTTTCGAACCAGTGATGTCACAATCTCACCCGTTTTGCACCGAGGAATCTATAAGCCGCAAATAAACGAAACGGAAACAAATCAAAATACCAAAACAGAGAGACAAATTACATATGAACTCCGTTGTGCCACGTGGTCCCTCCATTGCCGTTACCTTCCGGTGAAATACCCCCAAAACACTCCGCTTCTAACTTAGGAGAACACCACTGCTTCCTTCTTCATCAACCACCACAACCTCCTCTCTCTCGATCTCGATCTATGGAAGCAGCAGCAGTGCCACGTCTCGTCTATTGCGGACCAGAGCCGATTCGATTCTCCGTCTCCTCACGCCGCTCCTTCATCTCCGGTATCTCTCCCCGTAATAATAAGAAACGGTCTCGTCGGATTCTAGCCGTCGCTACTGATCCTAAACCTACGCAGACTAGTCCACCCAAGTCCACTACCGTAAACGGATCTTCTCCTTCTTCTTCATCGTCGTCTGCGTCAAGAGGAGTCAACAACAATGTTTCCACGGTACGATTCGGACTCTTGTAAGCCGTGAAAATTTCATATTCTCCTGCAGATTTTTTCGAATTTTTGATTTGGTGTGGCGAAATGTTACAGAGAGTTAGCGATGTATCGAAAGAGATTAAAAGAGTTAGAGCTCAAATGGAAGAAGATGAACAGTTATCTGTGTTGATGAGAGGACTTCGTGGTCAGAATTTGAAGGATTCGGTTTTTGCTGATGATAATATTCAGCTAAGGCTTGTTGAGGTAACAACAACACTCTTTCGCAGTTCAGCTTGATTTTTAGTATTGGCTTAGCATTTGTTAATGTTAAATGTTTTCGTTTCTTCTTTGTTGGGGTTTTGTAGACTGGTGAGAGCAGTGAGTTCTTACCTTTGGTATATGACCCGGCTACCATTTCTGCGTATTGGGGAAAACGCCCTCGTGCTGTTGCTTCTCGGGTTATTCAATTGCTGTCAGTCGCTGGAGGGTTTCTCTCGCGTATCGCTGGTGATATAATAAACAAGAAAGTCAAAGAGGTAATAAATAGTCTGTTTACTGGTTTTAATCATAGATGGAATGCTATAGCAGAATGTTTAGTTGTGGCTTGCAGATTCTGGTGATATATGTTAACTCCTTTAGGTATGATTGAGAGTATAAAAATGTATACAAATTTCATGTCCTATCTTTCAGTCTCTTCCTCCTACCAAGCATGGAACACATCATGTGATACTATTTGCGGAGTCAATATGTGGTGAACAGAACTTTGTTTTGATGCATTCCAATGATAGATATTGCCCTAGATTGTTGAAATCCATCCAGTTTACAGTTGCTGTGTTTTATATAGTTTTGGTGTTACATTAGATTTGTCCACGTTTAACTCTTTTGTGGCTTGCAATTAATTTATTTGCAGTTTGATTCTCATTTTTCATCTGTCATCATTTTCAGAATGAGGTAGCTAGGGCAATTGAGATAAGGGAAATTGTAACTTCCTTGGGTCCAGCATACATTAAACTTGGGCAAGCTTTGAGTATTCGACCAGATATCTTGTCACCCGCTGCAATGACAGAGCTACAAAAGCTGTGTGATAAGGTATAGTGCAGCAATTCTCCTTCATCGTTCCTGCATCTATTTCCATATGGTGTTAATTTCTACCAGACAAGTTTTCTACCTTAGCAGAGCTAAATGTGGCTGTTTTTTTGTTTATGTTAAGGTCCCTTCATATCCTGATGATGTAGCGATGGCCCTGATCGAGGAGGAGCTTGGGAAGCCATGGTACGACGTTTATTCTGAGCTCTCTCCTTCCCCAATCGCTGCTGGTAAATCTCGACCATCGATTAACATGCTGGCCTTATCATTTCAATATAATTTTGTTTATGTCAAATGATTTATTCATGTTCTGGTTTTTCAGCATCCCTGGGACAAGTGTACAAAGGGAGATTGAAGGAAAATGGGGATCTGGTGGCCGTGAAAGTACAGAGGCCTTTTGTTCTTGAGACAGTGACTGTCGACTTGTTTGTGATACGGAATTTGGGTCTATTTCTGCGGAAGTTCCCTCAGGCAAGGTTTTGTCTGACGGCTCAGCTTATGCACTTCTGTGATCGTTCTCTTTCACCTCAATGACTTTCGATCTTCTTGTTCTTTTGGGAAATTTGATGCAGGTGTCAGTAGATGTTGTTGGACTGGTTGATGAATGGGCTGCTCGTTTTTTTGAGGAGCTGGATTATGTTAACGAGGGAGAAAATGGGACATATTTTGCAGAAATGATGAAGAAAGATCTTCCACAAGTACGCTTCATAACTTTTCTAATGGAGACTTCAATTTATTGTGTATACATGAGGCATCCGATCATAAAATCTTTATTTGTTATGTATCTATGTGGATTTACATCTGTTGAATGGTTCCTAATCTTGAAATTATTGTTTCAGGTTGTTGTGCCTAAAACATACCAAAAGTACACGTCAAGGAAGGTTCTTACAACACAATGGATTGATGGAGAGAAACTGTCACAAAGTATGGAGAGTGACGTTGGCGAACTGGTGAATGTTGGTGTTATTTGTTACCTAAAGCAGGTATTGCTTCCTGCATACTTGTTGAGGAGCATAAAGAGATGTTTGTCTTAGGTTACTTGCATACATTGAATTTTCCTCTTGGTTCAACTTCTTCTGCAATTATACTAAATGACATAGATCTTGGCATGCATATACTAATACCTTCGGAGACAGTTAATTTCTTAGGTTGTTTTAATCATTTTCTATCTTACCTTGCATGGCTAGTCAATGTTTCTAACCAATAGTTCCGAATCATCTAGTGAGTAGAATGATTTTGAGCATATAAAAAAATCAAAATATCTCATCATATTGAAAGTCTGTGTTGGCTTTCTCGGTCCTGTTTTCTGGCTATTCTGATCACACTCTTGTTCCTGTTTTAAGGTGATGTGCGAGTATATTTTTGTAATTATTTTACTGTTTTGTGCTTCAGTTGCTTGATACTGGGTTTTTCCATGCTGACCCTCATCCTGGAAATATGATTCGTACCCCAGATGGAAAGCTTGCCATCCTCGATTTTGGTAACGATTCTAGTTCTAATTATTACATTTTGTGAATTAAAAAACCCTTTGGGTATCACAGTTACATTCAATGTGATATGAGAAAAAAAAATTGTTGACAGTTTATCTTTGTCTGTTCACTGACAGGTCTTGTTACCAAGTTGACTGATGATCAGAAGTACGGAATGATTGAAGCCATTGCACACCTAATTCACCGAGATTATGATGCCATAGTAAAAGATTTTGTCAAGCTTGGTTTCATTCCTGATGGGGTCAATCTGGCACCTATATTACCTGTCCTGGCCAAGGTTTTTGATCAGGCGCTCGAGGGTGGCGGAGCAAAAAACATTAACTTTCAAGAGTTGGCAGCAGATTTGGCACAGATTACTTTTGACTATCCTTTCAGAATTCCCCCTTATTTTGCCCTAATAATTAGGGCAATTGGTGTGCTAGAAGGTATAGCTCTTGTGGGGAATCCTGACTTTGCTATTGTGGACGAAGCTTATCCTTATATTGCTCAGGTATTCTATATGAACTCGATTAGTGTATTCTATAATCAGAGTTGAAATTTTCCTTCTGGCCAGTCTACTGATGGCTAACGTCTTTGTATGTTTATCTCGAAATTTAGCGGCTTTTGACGGATGAATCACCACGCCTGAGGGAGGCTTTACGCTACACAATATACGGGAAGTCTGGTGTTTTTGATGCTGAGAGATTCATCGATGTGATGCAAGCCTTTGAGACATTTATTACAGCAGCCAAAAGTGGAGGAGGGGAAGATATGAATGGGGGCATGGCAGAGATGGCTCTTATGCAAAGTAAGACAAGCAGTTTGGTTCCTATGTTTCCAGCTAATGCATCCCAACCGGATGAGCCAGTTCAAACGAGAGTCGCTTTGTCCTTTCTGCTTTCAGAGAAAGGGAACTTCTTCCGCGAGTTTTTGTTGGATGAGGTACTAATCAAAATCTAACCACTTGTTCCTATTTGTCACATAAATACTCTGAACTGCTGTACAATGAACGATAAATTTGGAGAATAAGTAGAATTGCTCAGTCACGTAATAACTATTTATTCATGGCAACATCAGTTCTAACTATTTTTTTGTGATCACTCATTACAGATAGTAAAAGGCATTGATGCAGTCACAAGAGAACAGCTGGTGCAAGCAATGGCGGTCTTTGGGTTCAGAAACACGACACCGGTCTTCGGTATGTTACCAGCGACATTGGGACCCTTTAAGCCTGCAGCACTTCTTCCATCTGTGACGGAAGAGGACAAGGTCATCTTAAACAATGTTCAGAAAGTAATTGAGTTCCTTACCGCAAGAAGCTCCATGTCGAATAACCCTGATCAGGTTAGATTCAGAAATCTCTCTTAATTCAATTTTTAGTACTTGAGCTTTTTTACTTACGTGGTCGATATCTTAAAACAGGTTGTAGATGTATCTCAAGTGGTTCGGGAACTGCTTCCTGTGTTGCCAGGGATCTCTGCCACAGTACTGCCTGAGATAATGAGTCGGCTTGGGTCACGAGTAATGGCAAGAATAGTCCGGGACACGTTTTTGTGAATAGTTGGTTGAGCTTTGTACAATTGTGCATATAAGTTGCATTTCAAAGTATAAAAGAAATATATAGCTGATGAGGATTGCTTGTTCGCCATTAACACATACTGTACCTGCTGTAATAATAACAGAGTTATCAGTTGCCATGGGACAATGACTTAGCCTTGCTAATATATATAGCCGTAAATCTGATGCACAAAAATCATATTTCACATGATTTGGTATCAGAAAATGTATTATTGACTAAATTATAAAATTCTAAATACAACTGTCACCTTACATAACAGGCTTATTTGAAACAGGGGCTACGAGAGCTATTTTCAGTCACTTCATTACATTTCTATTTGGCAAAAGAAGAGATGGTTCATGAGTATTTGCCAATCAATTACTTGCTTTCTTCATGAAAACAGCGGCAAAGCTTGCTCTCCTGAAGCATAAGATATGATACGCTTTTTAAGCGGCGAAATATAGTGAGCCCCGTGGAATGCAGCTGCTCTTAGAGCATTCAGCGGTCCGAAGTCCACCGAGTACATCTTCTGAATCCCGTCTAAAACTGCCATCATTGCTATATTTGCAGGTTTTCTCTCTGCTTCATATTGCTTGAGCAGATTCGCCTACAATTAAAAGATTCAGGCAGTCAATACATAGGAAAGAAGAAATAAACACGTGGTTTAAGACTTAGTATCCGAGCGTATACCTCGCCAATATCGGTCCCAAGAGCAATGCCCTCTGCAATGGCTTTGGAGAGAGCGCTTGCATCTGCAAATCCCAGATTCACTCCTTGACCAGCCAACGGGTGAACAGTGTGAGCTGAGTCACCGACAAGAGCCACACGCTTTGACACATAATCTTTTGCGTGCCTCAATGACAAAGGAAACATCATTCTTTCTGAAGAAAGCTTCACAACTTTGGGAGGAATATCAAACTTCTCCTTGGCAGATATGGTCACATCTCCCGTAAGCCAAGAGAGGCTATCCCGTGAACTTGTGGTCTCTGGATGTGGACCATATCCAGTATCCAGAGCGTCGTTTACAGCTTTAATGAAGTCATCCTCGTTCATTGATTTGCGATCTGATGCCTCTTTTGGGTCCATAGTCCATACTATGTTGCTAAACTTGTCACCAATGGGAAGAAGAGCGATGGGGCCATTGGGTAAAAACCGTTGCCACGCTGTGTAGTTTGCGACAGTGTGCTCAACAGTACAAATTATAGCATTTTGTGAGTAGTTCCATCCAGTTGTTTTGATCCCTGCCAACTCCCTCACTCGGGACTTAGAACCATCGGCGCCTACCTGCACAACAAATGTTAGATATCCTAAAATTGATGAGCTTAAGAATGGTTCTACTAAAATCTAGCAAACCGAAAAGACCTACCACCAGTTTTGCATAGATGTTATTTCCATCGCTTAGCTCCAGCTTAGCCAGGCGTCCTCGCATAAACAAGTCTGTAGTGGATGGTACTTCACCAAGACCTGTCAACGAAGAGCTAGGTAGCATATCCATCGCGTTTAACCTGGCAGGATAAATAGTCTTCTGGAGATCTGATTCCTGCAAATATTATTATCTCTCACTTACGAAACTAGAATACATGCCAAACTGATAATTCTTTAAAAACGATAATCTAATTAAGATGTTGAAGAATAGAGGTAATTGGTTGTAGAATTTAAGCAATTAGCATGACTCCACAAAATCACAATACTCTCTAAACTTGTGCCCAGTGTGTTCAGATGATGACCAGTCTATAGCAAATACAGATAAGTTTTGTGGAAGGTTGATTTATAAGCTATGTTTTGTTTGTTAAAAAATCAAATAAAGTAGCTGGAGGTTTTGAAACGGGGAATATAACTGTAATAGACATGCAAAACGATATGTGAAAGGTGAATTATAGCATGGGCTCAAATATATCGTGATATTCTGCCAAGATAACATGATAGTGAATAAACTAGGATGAACACAAGAAAGCAAGATACCTGTACACAAGTTAGCTGAGATGTCTGAAGAACTTTATTCTCCACTACACACCTGGATCATGTCAAGACTGAGTACTCAACTATTAAAAGCATTAAAATTGGAGATGTATATAGCAATATACTTACCCCAAAACATCTTGATGTACATCATTGGCATTGTACCTTGTATATCCAAGGCCTGTGTAGTCCCATACCTAAATTAGGAAATATGACATAATGACTTTGTTTTCGTCTGGAAAATCATTGTCAGTATATGCAGATCCTTCACAAAGTAGATCACACCTAGATAAATCTGATTGTAGTTTGGATTTTTTAAAATTAACTTCAAACAATGGAACAAATACTTTATATCAACATTTAAAAAGGAAACTAGCGGTAAATTGAACCAATAACAAGCCAACATCAAGAAACATGTTCCACCATAATTATAACAGAGAAAGCCAATTCCTTAAGATTTTTTTCTTTTATTTGAAGTAGTTAAATATTTCCGCAGCAATCAATCATATAAGAGCTTAATAAGATAGAAAGTTAACAGTCATTACCTGCATCTTATCAAAATACGCATGTCGCTGTTCCTCAATGTATTTCCAGGCACCAATATCTGCATAATTTAAACCAAATAAATGATCACAAAGTAAAAACTTAAAAAGGATATCCATGGACTGAAATCAACATCTTAAATCTACATGAAGCTTATGCCAGTGTTTGGAAGCTCTGTTGTCAGCCAATTAATTCACCTGAACTTGAATAATTGAGCAGAAGGTTTGAGAAGAAACGAGAAATTCCAGAAATGTAATGTTACATACCTTTGAGGAATGATATTGTTGCAGGTGTGACTGTACTGACCCTAGGATCAGGTGGGAGACCTTTCTCTATAACATTTTTTCTCCCCAGAAGAGGATTATTGTCAATAATTGCGACATTCAAGTGCTTCGTCAATGGCTTGCTTGCTGAAAAAAGAAACACAAACATTCCATAAAATGAACACCGATATATTTAGTTGACGGAACATAGAATTACAGGCTAAACTAGAAAAATCCAAGACTAGCAACCATTGCTTACCCAAAGAAGCAGCTAAAGCGATTCCAACCATTCCACCGCCGACAATAGCAATGTCATGTTGTGGACCATCTTCAGTGGAATTCTTTTCTGCAATACTCTCCTAAAATCATATACTAACTGTAACTAAATCTTATAAAAAAGCATACTTCAACATCCCCCTCAATACCAAATAAAGAATAACACAACTATAATAGGTGATGTCCCAAAGATGATAAACTACATTACAGAACCACAGTGACCACTGACCAGAGAAAGACTTATATGCCAACATCCACACAACAGATGCAGAGAATTTTTGCTATCATACTATAATAACAGCATGCATAAAATAAAATCCCCAAGTATCTTTCCTGAAAATTCACAAGAACAGAACAAGAGGGAAATCTCTTACATTGGAACCAGAACTAGTAACATTATGAATCACATGAGTTGAACAAGTCCTCCGCAATACTATATTTGCTCCAAAGACATTTGTCCCAAGCTTCCTTGCGAGAACCCTGTCATAGAAAACCAATTACAGTCTATTATCCAAGTAAGCTGAATCCTTACAACTTAGTCGCAATTCAACATCCCACAAACAAAGATGATCACCGACAAAAAAAATTTGAAGTTCTACTACAGTAATTTATATACCACGGGAACAGAGAAACGAAAAAAAAAAAAACTATTAGCAACGCGACATTGATTGATTTAGGAAAAGTTGAGAGAAAAACATCCTCAAATTTGATTACAAAACAAAACAGGGATTCAAATTTAGAGAAACGACGATGTAGAAAGACGAGTGATGTTGGACCTGTTCATGGATAATATTTATGCAGATTGAGACAGAAGAAGCTACGTTTCTCTGCCACCGGGGTAAGACACTTGAAATGAAACGGAAGAGATAGGTGACTCCGACGAGAGAAAGCCCTCTAAAGTCTAAACCAACAGAGAAGGTCCTCTTCTCATTTAGAACTCACGGAGGTTCGAAGAAAATGATCCAACCGGTTATTGAATAACCGAGTTATGAACCCGGTTTAAATTGGTTCCTGGACCTTCTGAGTTCTTCTGACTCTGCCGTGACTCGAATCCGACGCTCTCATCAACTTTGATACAACTTTGGTTCTCTGGTTCTGGGGATGAAGCGACAAACACGTGAAAACCCTAACTACAGTTTCGATCTAAGAATGCTCGATGGTGTTAATCATTGATGGCAAAGCGATAGGTGGTTTGGTTTGGTTAAACTTCCCCAACCGATTTTCTGGTTCGATTACAACTTTTTTGGTTCAAATTCTAGTTCCTTTTTAACTAGTTTCGTAATTGTTTTTAATTTTCTTGTATTTTGGGCTTCCAAATCTGGGCCTTTGGTTCTGTAAATCTTTTGCTCTCATGCTTTAAATTGAATTATCTTTTTAACAAAAAAAAAAAAAAAAAAAAAAAAAAGGAGAAATTTGTGAGTCGGTGCGATAGTGACGAGACAAAGAAATGGATTGGGCTCATATAGTTTTGATTTAGGCCCAACAGAAGAATTTTTTTTTTTTTTTTTTTTTTTTTGTCATCTCCAACAGAAGAATATTTTATGGTTTAATTTAAGCCCATTCGGAAAGTTACTTGAGTTTGTTTAATTAAGTTAAGCAAGTTGTTGATTTAGTCTCTTTTGCTTGTAAGCTTGGACCTTAGGTAAGTGGGCGTTTTTGACGTCTTTGCTTTCTGATAGATTTGGAGGAAACTTTTGGAAGTGAATAGTTTCTATCAATTTATTCATTAGCCCTTTAGGCTTATTTCAAAATCGCAAACTTGATTAACAAGTTATTTACATAATGGTAAATCTACCCATTTAACTCGATCTCGTATTTCCGAGATCTCCTAATACTTTCCCTGAGTTTAAAATATAGGACCTTAACTCTGATTCATGGACACTTCTTGATATCATCCTGCCTCTTCTGTTTGAGTTTCCATGAAACTCAAGATTCTGTTAGTAGCTTGCAGACAAACATTGTTACCCACTTGTGTGCGCTTATGTTCCAATTTTACTGCAACATAATCTATTTCTTACATATTTTCTTTACTAATGTTTTCTCTTTTCTCATCTTCTTCTAGGCATCCGAGTGGCTCACACGTTCTTTTCCCTGAAATTAATCATTTAATAGTTTCATTAGACAAAACTACAGAGGTGTCTCTCCTCTCTTGCTGTTACAAGGTTAGTAACTAGTTCTCTGAGATAATTCATAAAAGCTTTCACTATGGCCATGTACTATATATAATATATATAACAAGTTATTTCTTATCCTGACTCGTGGTGTCATCTCTACTTCCTATTCCAGGTTCTGCATATTCCAAGCATATTGAAAAGAGAAGAAGAAAACAAATACAAAAAGAAACAGAACAAATGTTTTTACATCACTCTTAAAAGTATAAAAAGGAAAACAGAATCATTGCAAAATGTTCTTAGCTATGTTACTAAAAAAAAAAATGATGCAAAAGAATCAGAACGCATCTCCATCAGAAATTTTATGCCTTTTTCTATTTGCAGATTGTGTGAATCACTTCATTAATAAAAATCATAAGAGCCTTTCTTTGATACATACATACTCACAACCAATAATATCATGAAAAGACCTGCGTAGGTTAGTATTATGTTCTCAAGACTTGAAGTGATTTAGCTGACTTGTTCTGCTTTTTTACCCTTTTTGGGTTTTTGTTTATCTTGTTTCCTTTTCTTTGATTCAAGACTGACCCAAGTATAACCTGTGGGGATAGCAAATGGGTCTTGTAAAGCTTTAGACTTACTACTCGAACCATCTTTGTTTGATCTAGACCGACGAAACCACGAAGATGATGAGTTAGTGAAGTCAGTTGCAGCAGCTGGACTCTCATATCCAGAAGCAGTTGGGCTTGAGAGAGGCGTCTTAAACTCATCTGCAGGCTCAAGTTCTTCAAACTTTGTGAATGTAACAAGAACTTTTATTGTAGGTACCACTGGAATAGCAACCTACATTTTACACACAAAATCAATAAAAGTGAAGTTGAAGAAACATTTGATTAGCTCTTAACCTTAAACTTCAACATACCTTGACTGGAAATGTTCCAGAGGGAAGTTTTGTGGTAAGAAGTTCTCTGAGACGACGAATCGCTTTGACTTTGTTTGCGAGTATGTCAAGCAAAGGAAGCAGCTCTTCTGTTTGTAATGGGAAATTTGGAGATAGCCAGAGAACAGGACGTAACCCTTTCTTGTATTCGCTTTCTTGTTGAGTCTTGCCAGAGACTACTGATGCTTTTGGTTTCCTATAATGCTCATTATCTACTGAGTGTCTTCCTGGTTTTATCTGATTAGACTCTCCCAAGAGATTACTTACTTTCTCATTCACACAAAGAGAGCTTCTCGGTGGCGCGTATTGAATTGGCTTCTCCTGTACTTTAGTCTCTTTATTCTTTCTCCAACCTCCTAACCAACCTTTCTTCTCTGCTTTCTTGTTGGACTGACTAAATTCCTCGGTAGGAACTTCGATATGATCGCGCTGATGAGGATGATCAATGAAGCCATTCTCACCAGTGACATTTGGGAAGTCTGGTATATCCAGCTTAAGAGCAGCCTCTAGTTGCTTTTGCTCTTCATCAGTTAGAATATCACAGAGATCATCAACTCCTCCTACTACATCACCGTTCTCTTTATCAGTCGATGCACCGGGAACTTTTCTAGACTTAATGCTAACAACCACATTGTTCATCTCATAGACCTTAGCTTTCCAAGGACCAACCATCTCACTCTTCTCCTGCCTCCTCCAATTTGTCTGTGGAGATAGAACAGCTTGTGTCACATCAATCCCGGGTCTAAAGATATTGCTCTTACACATTGCAGCCACTTCTTTCCTAACTTCTTCTTCTGATGGAACACCACAAGCACCATCCAACGCATTCACCACTTCCTTGTCCTTATGATTCACCATGTAAAGCGATCCACGAGTGACTTCACCATTCTCTGACCCATCACCAAGAAACAGTATACTCTGATCAGACCGCTGAATCTTGAAACCATCAAAACCAGCCATAGTCATATCCGCTCTCAAATTCGATCCAACCTTCCAAACCTTATAAGTATCAGACGGTGCAACCTTAGAGACAAAAGGCACAACAGAGCTCTCAAAATGAAAACTCATCTCCAAGTAAAAATCTTTCATCCTACTCATTGTAGCTATCAAACGAGGTAGCCTCCTACACCACTTAGCCCAAGCAAGAGGCTGATAATGCCGGACTATAATCATCGCAATCGCCTCTTGTCTACCGCAAACAGCTTCCTGCAACGCGTTCCATCCGTCCTCGTTCTGCAAAGTCCAATCAGCTCCAGCCACCATAAGCATTTCAACTGATGTTGAATCACACAGCTTCACAGCTAAATGTAGCGGCGTGTCACGGCTTGGAACGTCTCTTCTATCAATCACAGCCGAAATGGTATCCGATTTTGCTTCCTCAGCTAATGAAGCTGCCTCTGTTTGAATCTCACAAGGATCTTTAGGCTTTGGGAGAGAAGACAGTATTGACTTTAGACCAACATAGTCTTTAGAAGCAACAGCTCTGTGTACAGAGCTGTGAATGTACTTAGAAACATCAACGTTCTCCATTTGGATCTTCAGATCAAAATCTCCAATTTTTTCAACTCCTACGAAACCAGTAAATGGATCAAAATCTCAACCTAATTTTTAAAACAAGTCAAACAAGAACGAACCAGACTAAGATCAAGAAACAGAGTTAAACCCTGATTGAGACTTTTGGGAAGATAAGATCAACGAAAAGATAAAGAATCATAATTGGAAATGTGGGTCTTAATCAAGAAATCGAAAGATCTTAGAAAGGTCTTACCTTTTATCTTTTCAACTTCTAACTTTCGTTGCAAGAAAGAAGATGACTTGTTCTTACTTCATCATCTCGAAGCTTTCACTCTTTTAATCTTCTTCTTCTTCTTTCTCTCTTGTGTATTGTTTTGTCATATGAGAGAAGTTGAAAAAGAGAGGCTTGTGATCTAATTACAGATCAGCGACACATGTGGGAACGTGAAACAAAAAAACACACAGAGGGATTTAAGGGTAAAAGGAAAAAAAAGAAATCAATCTCGAGATTTGTGTGAACTCTAGAAAATGAATAAAGAAAAGAGTATTGAGTTGAATCTATAGAACTAGGAAAATAAAATCGGGAAGAAAAAATTTAGGAAGATTGAAAAATTAAGAATAAGTCGTGAAGATGCAATGTGTTTAGTGGGAGGGAAGCAAGCAAAGCCAAAAAAAGACACATTGACATTGAAAATTTATGTCAATGTGTATTAAAATGGGATAATAAATGAGAATTAAAATAGAACTAAATGAGGATTGAAAAAAAAAAAATTTAAAGAGATGAAATGAGGATTAAAAATATAGAATAGAAAAACTTAATAAAATCTTCTAATAGCTACAACTCTGATTTGATTCAGATATTTATAATGTTCTTAAAGGTTTTCAAAGGTTTTTAAGGTTTATAAGGTTTTTTACAAGGTTTTTAAAAAGTTTTTAAAAGGTTTCTAATTGGTTTTTAAAAGACATTTCTAATATATATCTTTATTTTTCCACACATATAAAGATCATTTCTGTATATTCTTATAAGCAAGTATTTGGATAAATCAAAGTTTTAGTGGATTTTTTGATAAAATTTGAAAGATGAAATATTTTTGAAAAGAGATATTGGAAAGGGTATTTTTGAAATTTCCCACTAATTATTTCATTAATCTAAAAATAAACTTATATAAACTTTTTAATCTAGTTTTCCATATCAATTAAGTATGTTTTAAGTAATGAAATATCTGGTGAATTTCTTTAAAATATATATTATTATTAAGAAAAATATAACAACAAATCAGAAATTTTAAGAAAAAAAATTTTAAATTTTAAATGTCCTTGATTAAAAAATCTAGGTATCTTAGAGATTTGCGAAATCAAGATATAAAAAATCAAATGTAAAGGTTAATAATATTAGATAAAATAGTAAGATGTTGTCAATCTATATTAATTATGCTAACATCAAATTTTATAGTTTCGAAAAACAAACATTCAAAGTTTAATGTCATTCAGTCATTTTGTTCTCAGTGTAATCGAATATCAGTTGCTTGTTTCTTTTAAGAGTGTATAGTAAAGGATTATTACCTACCA